AAAAATTTTTTTTTTTTTTTTTTTTTTTTTTTTTTTTTAGTGAGATGGTGATACAGAGCAGGGTAAAGTTGCACATTCACTCTTGGGCTCTTTAAAAGAACAAAAGAACAGGAGCTGGTATTGAAAAGGGGGTCTGATCTGTGCCCGGGGTTCCTTTGACACCTGCTTAGGCAGAGGTCTTTCACCATCCAGTGCTGGGTGTTAGCTCAGTATTCACTTCACACTTGAATGTATCTTATGTACAAGGTGGACCTTACATGAGTCCTGATATCTGAGCTATAATGTCCTTTACAGAGAGCAGTCAGCACCAAAGCCCTAAGGATGTTAAGGAAGAAAACATCAGACAACACCGCTCCAAATGTCCCTGGCTGCTGGTTCTAATAGATTCCATCCTGATCCCAAGGCTGCATTTTGTAAAGCTACTCGGAAATGATTTTTGGCACCCATCAGTTCCTTGCCTGAGTCTGAGCACTGCCAGAGAAGGTTGATATTTGTTTCTCTTTGTCACGGTGCTTACATGTCCTGGCCCAGGCACATCTGATGAGCTCCTGGTCTCACCCCAACCCCTAATGGCTGTTGTCTAAATGACAACACCCAGTTTAGCACTGTTAGCACACAGTCAGGGTGCATGCTGCATGTGACAGGCCAGGGCATGAATGGCAAGACTGAGATGCTACTGCAAACTAAACACCATCTCCTTCTTTTGTGGATTCTGTGGAGCCTTAGTTTAGGAGTCAGAGGCTCTCAGAACTTGGCGATTGCCTCTTGTGACAGTTATTGCAGGACTTCCTCCTGAGAGCCCAGCCCTCTGGGCCTGTGAGGGACCAGCTTGTGCCAGTGGGATTGTACCATCCGGGGATGATAGGCCACTGTTTAGGTTGCCTCTGTGGCATTGCGCACAGCACCCTTCTGTCTATATGACTATAAGCTCGAGAGGCAGAGCATGACAGGTCTTTGAGTGTCATGCCTGCTCCAGCCCAGGCCCATGGGCAGACTGTGGGCTGAAAGGGGGAGCCATGAATTGAGTGTTGACAGCGGGCCGAGACGGTCCAAAGGCTCAGGTGGTTGTCAGCCATAAGTTTAGCTCAGCTCTTTGAGTAATTTGTCACGCCTCACTCGGCCCCTGCTGGGCCAGCACGTGCCAGCTTACTGTCAGAGTGCCTGTTCGCCAGACGGCCACTCAGGCCTAACGTCCTGCTGTTCCCCGACCAGCGGCTTGCTGGGGCCGTGCTCGGAGGGCCGAGCCACAGCGACAGCCAAGTGCTGTGCAGAATAAGCATGTTCATAATGAGACATGAATGGCATTAGTGGGTCCCCCTAGAATTGGGCCTGAGCAGGCGCCGTGCGCTGAGGAAGTTTGGCAGGCTGTTCATTAAGGCGAGTCACCAGGAGTTCAGCCTCAGCCTCGGAGCCGGCCGGGCACAGGCTGCCCAAGCCTCTGTCTATACAAAAGATCATAAATCATCGTGGGCCCACTTCTGAACTCTTCGAGCCCATGTTCATCATATTTTATTTTGTATTTTTAAATTGCATCCAAAAAGATTAAGGAGGATTCCTGGCCTGTGATAGTGTCGCTTTCTATGATGGTAGGCCTGTCCTCTCTCTGTACTACCAATCCTACAACCTCTACTCTGGCACAGTGCTGAGCACTTGAAATACAGCAAGTAGGGCAGAGTAACTGAGTTTTTAAATTTTTAATTAATTAAAATTTAAATGTAGATAGCCACATGTGACATGTGCTCCCTAGATTGCTCTGGTCACCCATAGTATGAAGTCATCCTCTGAACATGTAAGGAAGGAGGCGGAGGAAAAGCCTACATCTGGAAATCAGTGTGCCTACTTTGCTAAAAGAAAATAGACAAATACCTGCCCATTTTAAAGCACAGCCTCTATTGAAAGGATAAGTCACCAACATATATTTTTCAAGAGGCCATTTTGAAAAGACAGTTTTAAAGGACAGTGAGAAATGCTAGAATTACTTGCAAGCAACAAACTGAGGACGGCTCTCATTCCCCATGTTCCCAGAGAATCAGCCCAGTTTTCAAACTGACTACAACATGTCTTTTAACTTTGGCTTTGGTAACAGGGTAGGGGGAAATGAGACATCACACTGACCTTCCCGTTGTTAATTCGTGAAGTCTTACATGCTGCTGCCATCCATTGTTGGTTGTTCTGATGTTACCCTGGTGTTGGAAGTGCATGAGTCACCTTCCCAGGAAACAGAAGCCACACACAAAAGGAGAAGATTTGCTTTCTGCCCTGTGAAAGGCTGCCACACGCAGGGGTCCTATTAAGACAGCTGGAAAGTTGCTTTGGCGTGTTACGCTTGTAAGTTTTATTGGTGACTGGTTTTTGATTACACATTTGAATGCTGTGTGTTCCAGACTGCAGTTTTAATTAGGAGCCAATAGTCTTTTTTTTTTTTTTTTTCCAAATGCATTCTGCACTCTTCTTAGATTCTCCTACTTATTGTTCTACTTCTTATAGTTTCTCTTGGTTGGAGTCTCTGATGCGCTTTCGGAGTATACCTCTGCCCTGGGCTCTTCTCAATAACTTGCATTTCCTTATTTTTGTAAAGGTGTGTTTGCCCTTGTGTCATCAGTTCTTGCTTGAAGGATCAGTTCATGTCAGTACTCTGAGAAAAGTATTTTCTCCCCCAACTAGGAAGTGAAGATCCAGGCTTGTCACACGCTTGCCAGTGGAAAGAGACATCATCCCACCCACAACTCTTTTGTTTGCTTAAATCAGCCTCAATCGTTCTTTGGTGTTATTCTGTAACTATTGGCTGCATTTTTTTTTTAGTAATGCTAGTGTTGAATGCATTTGAAGTCTAAGAGAAACTTACGTTTGAGCAACACAATCTTATTATTATGGTTCATAGTTAATTTTCTGACAAAATACTACAGAACTTGCAGGATGCTATGTTTTACATACAGTCATGAAAGTTGCATAACTGTATTTTAAACAAAGTGGATGGTCACTGCTCTGCATGCCATGTCGCACATTCATTTGTCGCCTTAACTGATGGCTGTAGCTACGAAGAACGAGCACTGTATCTTGAAGCAATAATTCAGAACCATCGCGAAGTCATGACGTTCGAGGATTTTGCAGCTCAAGTCTTCTCCCCCTCGCCCAGCTACTCCCTCAGTGGAACGGGTGAGTGTCTGCATTATTCTTCTCTCATGGTTAGGACAAATTCAAGTAGCAGATGTACACCTGTTTTTCACAGATAAATGCTTGCAAATTTAAGAAGAGCATTCTCCCTCTGAATCAACTAATGAATATCAAAAGGAATGATGACATTCATTTCAATTTGTTTTGTATCCGAGCTGTTCTCTCTATCCCTTTCTACAGCTATCCCTGTTAACCCTCAAATCTAGCAAGGTTAATGAACTTTTTCTCAGTAATGTGCCCCAGTTCATTCAGGAGTGTGGGCTTCTTGCTGAGCTGGGAATATGTAGTTTAAAAGCAATGCCCGAATCAGTGCTTACTTATCAAAAAGGAGTTCCTCACAGTCGAAGCCGTTGCTACTAATGCTAAATGGGGATTATGCTGCCGAGATACCAGGGTCAGGGATTAACGCGGGAGACATGGCAGGACAGTGTCCCCAGGCCCGTCATTACCGGCGTAGCGGGCGCGCTCTGCTGTGGAGTGGCCAGTGTCATGCGGACAAGCCGCCGGCCGGGCAGCACCTGGCATGGAGCCGGTTTAGACCCTGGCTTCTACTCATTGTCATTTGTTAGGGCAGCAGAAAATTGCTAACATTTCCGTGGGTTTTCTTGTTTTTAGGCACTTATTCTTTTTCTGTTTCCAGTTTGAAAAAAAAAGTGCACTGCCACTTAAACTGATGATATGATTACTGTGTGTTTTTTCAAAGAACAGAATTATTCTTTGCAAATTTCTGCATGTAAATTGCCTTTCAGAGAGTAAAGGGCATATTTAGTCAACCCGTGTTGAAATCCTCCTTCATCTTCCCCGTTTCCACAGGACTGAGAGTGCTAATAGATTTCTAACCTGGGTTGATTGTCTCCAAACACTGCCTTCCTTCTCCCATCCTGACTTGTTAACAAATATCTTACACACAAAGTGAAAAAAATTAAATTCACTGAAATAAATCACTTCCAAATAAAATCAGCCATGCATCATTGTTTAACATCGCTGGCTGCAGTCCTGGCCTCCGAGCTTTGTGTGGAGATAAGAGGAGAGGCCTGTGCTGGCCAGGGAGCCAGGAGCAGCAGGCAGAAGGCTCCGGAGATAAGCAGCCTGGCAGAGGTGGGAGGCGATTTACATAATCACACTGCTTCCTGGGGAGGCGTCAGGAACACAGGGATGGCCTCTATTGATCTCTGTTGAACTGGAATACTAAACAACACGAGAAAAGCTTATGACTTCAAGCTTTGATTAATGTTTCTTACATTAAAAAGTAGAACAGCTGTGAATTGAATTCTTTTATACACTCTGCCAATATTCTATCTAAGACAGAAAAAAAATCTGTGTCAGGGGAAATGAAGATTTCATACCCAGTCTGGCTAGAGGTTTAAATGATTTCTAATTTTTCACTGAGAGGACAAGAAGGATCTGTAGCAAGCTAATTTTTTATTCACATTTTTCTCATCCTCATGGATACTGGAACTTGATTTTTTGTTGCAGGTTTTTTTTTTAACTCTGAAGAAAGCAATTTTATTTCTTAAAATTGAAGGAAAACACTAAATGATACCTAGATAACTCAACTGTTATAATATTAAAGTTGATTAAGATGTTTTAGAAATCAATAATGAGGGGCTCTATTAGTCTGCAAATAATGTAATTTGATCTTTTCCAAAGTTCATAGTTATTTAACTCATGTATAAGAGTCAGTGTGTAGTGCCATTGTGAGTGAGGCAGCAGGAGAAACTTGAGGTTCTGTGACCTCCATTTAGACAAGATTGTTGTTAGGCTTACTTAGCAGAATAAGGATTCTGACAGCATTATAAGGGTGAGCATTGGAACTTTTATAAAAGAAACATGAAACCAAACATGAGATATCTGTTCTTCCTCTTCTTAAATTAACAATATAATGCTAGGGTTCAGTATTGAATGATTCAATTTTTTACACACGTGTTGCACCCATCCTTGAAGGTGACTCTAAAGGTGAGCATGATGTTCTCTTAAAACTTTACATAGCTGTCCTTAATGATTAGGAGTGAACTAGGAATAAACTTGTTTGGAGCTGAAATGTGGGTGGCCAAGCAAGGGCAGGGCATCTCAGCATGGCACACAGGCCTCTCTCACAACCACTGCCTCTTTTCATGTACGCAGATGAGAATAGTATTTCATTTATTCCAAGTCTTTTATTTTCCTGGGACACGTACAGTCAACCCCTTCTGAGCCAGCTGGTGTAAACTAAGACACTGAGGTACAGCCTGCTCTCCCAAGAAACAAACCAACTGGAAAAATTGACCCCTCGCCCCTCGAGTTCCCACCACACACTTGGGCCCCAGTCAGACTGCCCCTGGCCTCAGTATCACCAAAGCAAGACCTCTGCTCCTTCTTACAGGCGTGTGCACAGTCTGAGGAAACAGGGGCTCTGGGTTCTCAGTGCATCCTCGTGACAAACTTTGTCCTGAAGGAAGAGGGGTCACCTGGAAATTGTGCCCACTCTATACTGCGTGTATATCACAAGCGAGTGGGCAGTCTGCCCACCTCGGCGGAGAAGCCCCGGCAGCCTTTGCAGGCCCAATTTGTGCCCAAAAAGTGCATTGCTGGGCAGTGCCCCATGCCTGAAGCTGCTGCTCCTGTACGCAGGGCACCTGGGCAGAGGGTTAAGTGCACACTATCCTCGGCACTGTCGATTATGGATAGAGAGGCAGGGTTAGCACTTGAGGATCCAGCTTTTGTCAAGGGGCTTTAAAAGAAGTCACCCATTTGGGCTGGGGATTTAGCTCAGTGGTGCCATCACCTGCCTCAGAAGCTCAAGGTCCAGAGTTCAATCCCTGGTACCAAAAAATAAAAAAAAAACACCCATTTTCCAAATGAGAAAATGTTCTAAAACAATCAGCTTGCATCTGTTCCATCTATTACCTGTATTGAGGATCCCCCAACCTACAGTAGGTGTTTGAGCTGCATTTTTACCTAGCCCTGTACTTTGCCTCCTTTATTGATTTCTTCCCTTATTGACCAGGAATAAATAATCTAAAAGGTAACCAGTGCTCAAATGCTGTTTGCCATTAATATCTGTATGATTTGTATACATTTAACCCACACACCTGTGGGCATGAGAGTAAAGGGGGTTGTGTGTTTGCAAGTGTCACCGAGGAAGGGGCCACAGAGTGGCTTGCTAAGGGTTAACACTTGGAGCTGTGCATATCAGGGAGGGACTGATGTCACCCAGGCAGCTCACAGCCAAGTGCATCTGTTCACCATGAGGTCATTCTTCTGCATGCTAATGATTCGGAGAATCCAGTGTAATGCTCAACAAGATCAGAAAGGATGCAAACAGTGTACATTGTTACCTTTCAGAAACTGCTCTTATAGAACAAAGAGAAAACAAAACAAATGAAACTTTCACTTGGACCTGAGTTTTTTTTTCCAGAACTGCTTTTAAAAATTGCATCTGGACCTCAAAATCTGGGAGGATCCCACTGTGTCTGGTGAAAATGAATCCCCAACCACAGTCGCAGCTGGCAGTTTGGTGGTCACGGAGTGTACCTAACTCATTCGGTCCCTAACTGAAGAGTTTCCGGTACCTTGATTGGAATTTGGTGATGATGGATGTTTGCCCCAAGGAATGTCTAGAACCATGTTCAAGAGGCTCTGCTCAGTGCACCCAGCGGCCCTGCCTCTGCTCAGATGCCGGTACTGTCTGGGGCACCTCCCAACCTCAGCACTGCTGCCCAGGGCCAGCAGGGGGAGCACAGCCTTTGTTTGCTTGTGAGGCCCCGTAAACAATGTAGCTGCTGTTTTCCAAGGCCTAATGGGCTGAGGTTCCCCCTGTGTAGGCTCCATCACAGGGGCCCCAGGATTCAGAGTCTCGCCTGCCCTATCCAATTCTGCCACTTTAGTGTGGGTTGCATTTGTTGCTTAAAGCAGATTAGTCTGAGTCCATTTTAGGATGTAGCTGCCACTCCTCCATTGTCCCCAAGTACAGACTTCCACGTTTCCCCACCTGTGCCAGGTGTCTCGAGAAGGATTCTTATGTTCATCTGCCTCATAGTCAAGGCTGCTGTGATTCTTTCCTACAGCAGGATATTCTAGTAAATTTGCAAAACTTTACCAAAGAGTCTGCCCAGTGTCATTGGGGGGTTTTGGTGGCCAATAAAATCTCACAAAGCTGCAAACAGAGCTGGGTATGGTGGTGCTCACCTGTAGTTCCAGTATCCTAGGAGGCAGAGGCAGGAGAATCACAAGTTCAAGCCCAGCCTGGGCAATTTAGCGATGTAGGGAGACCCTGCCTTAAAAAAAGAGAAAGAAAAAAAAAAAAGGACTGGAGGTATATCCTAGCATGAAAGCCCTGGATCTGGCCCCTGGCCTCTAGTACCATGCACACAAAACAAACAAACAAACAAACAAACCAAATGGAGAGAGAGAAGCTGCAGGCAGAAGTGCTTGTGTCACACGTTGGCCCAAAGCAAATGTGGGGTGTTGGTGTGTCACCTGTGAGTTCTCAGCAGCCTCTGCTGGAGTGGTCACACTAATACCACTTTTGCCTCTGCTGACACTGCTGATGGACCCAGGATAGAGCAGACCTGACCTTGTACCCGTGGCCCATCCTCTTGGCTCTGTTCCTGGGCAGTTAATAATCAGCTGAGCCTCAGGAACAGATGAGGCAGACCCTCACCCTGCTCTCCAAGACCCGTTCTCGTCATGGCGAGGGGTCTCACTTGAGATTTCTTCAGGGCTCATCCCCACCCACTCCCTTCATCCCCCTGTTCCCGTGGCCATGACAGAGGTGGAGGGGCTGAGCTATACTGCTCATGACCCGAGCAGCTGGAAGGGACCCCAGGAAACATCAGGCCTCGCCCCTTCGCACTGACTGACCAAGCTGAAACCCAAGCCATGAAGGGACAGCCAAGGCTATTGGGCACCCCTCTTCCCACCCTGGGGGCCACTCCTGTGATCACAGCCCTGCTGCTGGCTTCTTATTCATAACAAAGACCAGTATTGAATTGGAGGACTCC